ACGTTGAGAATATAAAAAATATTGCATCCTATTGCAAGAATATTGAAGAATTAACCTTTTACCTTAAAACGGAAGCTAGGAAATACTTTTGGATAGCGGAACTGCCAAATCTGAAGAAATTAACTATACATGGTTTTAATAACTGGTCTGCAATGGCAAAGTTTTGCAAAGGACTTGCAGAAACGGATTGTCAAAGGATTCAATGTTTAGAAATAAAAATAAACTTTATTGACTACCAAGCGACTTTGGAGATTGTGCGAATAAAATCACTAAAAAGCTTACGCTTCGATTTCTTCAATCCAAAATGTGTTGAACTCTTGGCCGAACTAATAGAGCTTGAAAACATCACCATAGTAATGTGGCCAACTGTAAGGAAAATCGCTCCTGCGCTTTTACGCGTTCTACAGTGTTGCAAAAAGTTGAACCGAGTTCACGTTGAAGGAGGCAATTTAACATCTGAGTTCGTTTACGATGCTATAAAAATCTTACAATCGGTTAGAAATATTAAAGAACAAAAACCTCTGATATTAGAAGTGGCAAGATTTAAACATTTGATGCCAGTGGAGGTAAGTGTAAATATATTTTTAGCAATGATGGAAATTGTTCGAAATGTGTCTCAGCAATGAAAATGAAATTTAAAAGTGTGATTTTTCTTGTTCTTTTTTCAGTTAACAGCTGCCGATAAGAAATATCTTATATTTCGATTCCAGCCTTGATAAAAATTGTTATTTTATAATCTTGTAAATAAAAAATGTATGCATATATTTTGTTATTTAACATAAAAGATATATTTGTATAGGTAGTTGGGCATCGTCTTAACATAAGTGGGCATAAAAGATTGTCATGATGTTTCAAACACTTAACCGAAACTTATTTAAGCTTGTGCCTAATGTAATATTTATTCAAGTCACATAGCTGCATTTGTTAATCACAGCCAGCGCCTGACTGTCTAGTTTTTTTGGGTTGAATAGTTCTATAAATAAGGAACAAAAGTATTAAATTGAGGCTTCAATACATTTTTTAAACTGACCGCAATTACGTGGAAATTCGAAGTTAGACACTCTTCTTTATAAGATATACGGAGACGATCTAAGGTAGCTCCTTACCCTTTATTTTATCGATTTGGTGGATGTTTGAAGAAGTTTTTACCGTCGGATGTTCATATTCTTACTAGCAAATAGTATAATGGTTTAATTTCCAAATGCCATTTTTATGGCAGTTAATAATTATTAATATTTGTGAAAGTTTAAAATTTGTATTTCCTTCACTGAAAAGTGTAAAGTTAAAAAGTTGTTTCTGGTGTGCAAATTTGTAACAAACAGTAGGAGAACGATAGAAATCATGTTATAGGCAAATATATGATCAGAATAAGGGAATGAATCCATTATCCGTACGTTACATAGCAGTCTAGTGAAGCTGAATACCCGAAAAAAAAAACAGCCTTAGTTAAAATTACGATAAAAAATGCATCTCTAAAATGAAAAGATGCCAATTGTAAGGATGTTGAATCAATTGGCTTCAACAATATTTTCCTCAATTTCTAAGACAATGCAGACTTATCCTAGAAATATTTCATATACAAGTATAATGAGAATTAAATTTTTAGAATAAGTTTAAAAGGTATTGACTTAATTTTAAGGCATTTGCAGAAAACATATACCGTTCTGTTTGAATTCATTTCAAATGCATTTTTTTAAATTTATATGATCTTGAAATGCGTAAAATTGTTTGCCACTGAACTACTTCCTAAAAAAGAATGCATAGCAATATCAATAATATAAAGGTCACCCGAGCATGTGCCCCTAAAGTATGTGGGTTGGACAGCACTCCATTATTTTTTTGACTCTACCTCTTTTCCATATGACCAATTAGCTTTATAACTTGGCAAGGTTACTGCAATTTGCTGCACCCTAAATCCAATCAGTCAGTGGGCAGAGCAGCTCCAGTCACGCACATGTTGCATACATTAACATAAATGATTTGGTAAACAGTTTTTTGTGTACTTATGGGTATGTGGAAAATTTTCCCTAACGCCTGCACACATCGCGCATACGCCGTGTGAGCCCGAAATTGCCAGCAAATTAATTTATATTATTAGCCATGCAAGTGGCGCTTGCACTATACGCCCTTTTCACGTACATGCCCCACTCCTATTGTTTTCATATATTTTACTTGTGTTTTTGCATAAATTTTTAATTTCCCTAAGTGAAATGCCACAAGTTTTCAAATTGGCCTTTTTCGCTTGAGAGCGCCCGGGCAGGGAGAAGGGAGGTGGCTACGATGATTTTCTATGCACTTTTCCATTTGGTGTGCACTGTTCGTGCCACGCGGGCTATGGCTATTGTTCTTTGTTGCCTTTTGCGCCCGCACACACACGCACACACACACACGCACACACACACCACACACGCACACATAGAAGTTCGAGCATCGACAGCGCTGCTGGCGTCGCCGTCATCCGCAGCGTCTTCATCACAAGTTTTGATTTCGTGTGAGAGTTTTGCGCGCAGCTCTCACGCTGCGCTTTTGTTTGCACGCCGCAAGCAATGCGCGCAATTGCCTCTGCGAGTGAGAGGGGGTCGGTGAGTGGCACAGCAAAGTAAAGTTGTGGGCGTCCATTGGCTTTAGTTTCTTTTTCTACCCCAACTGCTTTGTCTCGAAGGCGTGCCCGTTCTTTGACTTTGCAGCGTGTTGGCTTTGGGAGAGGCTCAAACGAAGTACATTAGAAGGTTGGTTGGCAGGAGTCAGAGGAGGCCTACACTAGTTGGTATACAAACAAGTATAAGAACTTTGGGGACATTTTTGAGATATATATGGTTTATAAAATTATGTGTAAACATATTAAATGATTAAAAACCAAGCTAAATTTGAGAGTGAAATTTTAAAATTAAGTAAATACATAAATTATGATATCTCATATATCTTTTTTTCAAAATTTTAGAAATAGTATTGACGAATAACTCATTTTTCATTTTAAACCCGTCAAAGGACATGCTAGACTGTTTAGAATGTTATGAGATTTGTTTGTAATAATATTTAAGTAGGAGTTACAAAACTTGTTAAATCAATGTTATGTGGTTTTTCTGCAGGGTGTTATCTGTCAACCTCATAATTTTTACTTTATGCCAAATGTATTTATTTTCATTCAAAAAACTCATAAATATTATAAAACTCATCGAATTTTTATTTTGTGAAACTTTATCAAACTGAAGGTTAAAATATTTCGATATTTATTACTCCAAAACTTCCCTATTTTTCACAACTAAAATATGTTCATAGTTTAGTGAGATATCATAAATAAAACGCGTAGCTTATGAATTTTGATTCGGCTTCCAAAACATGCCGTCTAGTGTTGATTTTATGGACACATACGCCACGCATAGTCTCGGTATTAGCTTTTGTCCCTATCGATTATGGTTGCTTGATTTCACTTCGTCCATTTTCTTTATTCTTCCGCTGCTGCGCTTTGTCAAAAGGAAGGTGGAAACTTTTTCGATAGTTGTTCGGCGACATGTAGGAAGTGCAGTCTGTTGATTGCCGTGCCTGAAGCTGCGGGTGCATGAATTGTGTGCAGACAATCTCATCTCAGTGCCCACAATGGATATTGAAAAGCTATTAAAGTTGTATGGCAGGCACGGGCTTGTGTTTGGGTTGAAAAGCCAAATGAAGTTGTGGTACTGTTTAAGAAAGTTGGGCTTGCTTTTGTGGCAAGCAGGTGGCAGTTGCAAATTAATTTAAATTTATTTAAAGATGCAATACCAAATGGATACTTCCATCAGGGTTTAATTGCCTTATTGGGAAAAAGTTTATTCAGTGATCATTCAAAAATAACTTTCAATGCTACTAAACATTTTTCTCAATTTTTTAGAGAAAGTTTAAGGACAACCCTTCGAAGCTTATAAATTGAAAATTATAAATTGTAAAGAGGTCGAAACAGAACCAACTTTTAAGTTAATTTCGTAAACAAATTCGAAAACTATATTTGATGTTTAATTCATGAATAGACGAAGCATGACCGAGAAAGGAATTTTATTATTTATTTCTTTTTATATTTTTAATAAACTTTAGGCAACGTAAAAGTTTGTTTAACATTAAGCATATCGATAGCTTCAAAATGCCGCTATAGTTGTCGACACTCTCTACACCACCTTCCCACACAAATATGTCTAAGTAGCGGCAACAGCTGTGTAAACAAATAGTTGCTCTTTCCAAGTATTTGCAAATTCTCACATTCGCTCTTCAATACTGGCAAAGTAGCTCTCTTAAATGGCAAAGAAACCACAATCATTATCGTCAAACCACCCAAGCACTCCCACACCTCACACAGTGCAAGACCTAGTTCCTAAGACGCCCCCTCCGTAGAAGTGCCATGGAACCAACTACTCAGCAAAGCTCATGCTAATTGTTTGATTTTTTTTTGTTTGCGTATAAAAAACATTAGCAGTATAGTTCCACGAACGAGTGGGAGTCGTTGCTTGTTACTCGTGCGCCACATGGGGGTCAGCTCTCACACACACACACACACACACACACACAAACACCAACACCTGAGCCGCATGTGTGCCAAAATGGAGCACACGGCAATTGAGAAAGGCGAGAGAAGAAAATGAAAGTGGCTCGCATGCAAAAATGTGGCCAACACCCGCAGTTGGAGTAACTTGAGGTAGAAATGCGAGCAAAACAAAAACAAAGTAATTTTTCCTTTTTAGGCCAACGGACCCCGAGTCCAGGGGCGAGTGGTATGAGTTGTAGAATGTTGACCGCAAAATTAACACCAAACGGCCACGATATGTACATACATACATATATATATATATATAGTAGTATATGTTCATATAAGAAAATACTTACATATATATGTATGTAGATGGTGTATAGGGAGGGTTGGGGGTACATATAAAATTATGCCAAAATATTCAAATTTCCATCGATTTTGTTCTGGCATGTAAACTTATACTTAAACTTCAAAAAAATTAGTGCAAATTGCAGAAACGCACGCCTCACCCAAATGCAATGCATAAGAGTGGGGGAGAAGTAATGGAGGTTGGACTCACCTTGAAAGCCTTGAACGATGACACCACATAGAAGGCGCCATCCTCGAGCTCATCCAGATGATATTTGCGATCACCATCCATGGAGAAGACGTAGCGAGCACCACGTGGCAAATCCATTTTCGGCGAAATCTTGTCCAGCAAATTGTCGAGCGAGGTGACATCACGTCCGGGTCTGTAGCGCAGCTCCACGCCTGGAAAGAATGGATCACCATTGCGATAAAAGACCACACGTCTGGCCTTCCAATACGACAAATTATTGTAACGCGCGGCGGCGGCACTGGAGATCTCTGGCCGTGATTTGGAACGCACGAGCGGCACAATGGGCGGCTGTTCCGAATTCTCGCTCATGTTATCCAGATAACTGGGACTAAGTGCCCGGCTATGACGACCGCTCTGTCCTGGTCCAGTTGCACCGCCTGGTCCAGGCCCAGCGCCAGATCCAACTGCAATGCCAGATGCGCCGTTCCGTTGTTGCCAATAGTCGGGCACGTGGCCGCCAGCGCCACCACGAGCTACTGCTGCCCCCGAGCTTACGTTATCAGCATGCAAATCGCCGGCTGTTAGTTCGTCCTCGTCGTCATCGTCATTGGCGTAGGAGTCATGTTGGGGCTGTATTTGAAAGCTCGATGGATTGCCGTTGATGTTGCGGCTGTTGCGGTTGCTGCTGTGACCGCGACTTGTGGGTCTCTTCACTGGGCTGCTGCGACTGCTTTCGTTATCGTTATTGTTATTAATACTATTATTATTTATTTGATTATCATCGAACTGAGTTGGCGTCGGCGAAACGTTTCCCTCGAGCTGTGCGTTCGAACTAATTTGTGGCATTGTTTGGCCGCCAAGCACGGACTCGTTATTAGCATTGGCCGCGTCGTTGCCGCCGCCAGCGTCGTCAGCGTCATCATCAGCAGTGGCGGTGGCAGCAGCAGGGGCGCCCATATAATCGTTCTCTTCGTTGGACATTGTCCTTGTGAGTCAGAACCTCTTCCAAGTCCTGCTCTCTTAGCGCACTCTTCACTTGCTCGAATCTAAATCTCAGTCGTCGCGTCGTTCCCTTGCGTGTGTGTTCCAAAGTTTGTTGTGGTCAAAAATTGCTAAGGCAGCGACGTCGCGTCGACGCAGAGCGTGCCTCGACTTTTCTACTCCTCACGACTTTCTTGCACGGTAGTTGGATTTCGTGTCGCGTCTCAAGTTGTTGCACGCCTTGCTAGCACTTTCGTTTTTCAGTTCACATATGCAAATTAGGTTGCTTCAGGTTCTTCACTTTACTTCGCGTTCTTTGTGGTTTTTACTTTGTTTAATGTGAGTTTGCTTGGAGTGTTTGTCAAAGGGGTTTTTATCTGAGCTCAACGGGTTTATGGTGCACCTGGACTGGAATTAAAGTATTTTTTCTTTCTTATTTGTTGTTATTGCAATAAAACAATAAATGTTCTTGCGTGGACAGCTTTTACAAGGAGACACGACCATTTTTATTGCCAGCACTAAGCCAGTTAGGTCAGTTTAATTGAAATGGTATCCAGTAACGACTGAGATCTTCAAGAAATACGAAAGTAGTTGAAGGCAACAAATAGTAGGAGCTTAATGGAGAAGGATTTAGTCTAAAAGACAATTTGTCGCATATTAAAAATATATGTCAAATATTATCAGAGTAATTCCACTATTTAATGTCATTGTCTGATTATATTCAGATAAATTATAAGTATTATTAAGCCCTTATTTGTATTAAATGATGGGCAACTACTTGTATAACAAATTTCATAATCTTTCAAATCTCAAATTTTGACACATCATTAAAAAGTTTGTAGAAATTTGTTTCAAGTCTTAATAGGAATTATTTTCCAATCCCAAATATTTAACTGCCAACTCAACAATTTTGGTTCTGGCATAAAATTGTTGTACTGAGAATATAATGAATGATTTTATAAATTAATGCATGAATGGTTTTAAATTTCGAACCTCGCCTTAAACAATAATGTTACTTGAAATGTACCCAATCTTTTTATTAATCAATCGCATAATATAATTAAAATATTGAATAACAATAATGCATAACTATTATTATTAAACGAATCATTCGAAAAAAGTTCTTAGATATCAGTAATGGCCTTTTTCTTTGAGCTCCTTCTTTTTAAATTTTAAATTCATTGTTTATAAATCATAAATTGAGTATCGAAATTACTTTTAAAATCATTTAAATATTAAAATGTTTATCTTCCAACTGAAAAAAATATAATTAAGTACATATAGTATTTTATGACACTTTCCATATTAAAATATAAAACTGGACATTATTAGGAACAAATAGATATTAATATAACATATGAGAAGAAACCAACAAATAAATAAATCCTTTTTAATAATAAAACGCAATATATATAATTTTGAAAATCATACTCATGAAAATACTTAATATTATCAAATGTGGTTTTAGTTTGGTTTATTTTTATTCATTTACGTAAACAAAACAATTTGTAAATATTAATTTTATGGTTCAAGGTTCTTTTAGTCGTCAATCAGGATATTCAAAAACATATTAGCTACTGCAGTGACTTGAAACAGCTGTTGAATATATTTGTGAAAAATTTGGTTTTGGTGCAAATTAATTATTCTCTTGATTTATACTCGTTTTATCAGCATTCAATCGTATACTCAACAACGGATCGCTTATTTGCTTTATCCTACCCCACACCTTTGCCTTTATGTTTAAAATCGAGAAAGGAAACTTCAGTCAATTGATCCCACCAGCTGTGTGTTCTTATTCTCTGCCATAGTTGGAGTTTACAAATTGGAAGCAATCGAACATACATGAAACTGTCGGTACGCTATCAATGCACAACGAAATTGTCCACGGTCCTGTTCATGTCCATTGGCAATGGCTCTTCAGGCCCACTTCACAGAGCCGTTCAATGGCTGTCCACTAACCACTTTACAGTTCCTTTGTCAGTAAACACAGTGAAGAGCGCTCTCCCATCCACTGTGTGGTGCTTGAGTCGAAATATCGCGTATACGTACAAATGCTATTTGCCTCGCTTTATGCACCTCGCACTTCAAACAGAGACACAGAGAGAAAGAGAGAGACAGAGAGAGAAAGATACAGAGGGAAACAGATAGGGAGGGAGAGTGTGTGATAGAGGGGAGATGAAGGCAATGGCTACTCCACTTTGCTTTGACCAAAATTGCAGCAGGCGTACAGCCTGTTGTGGTGTCTTCAATGCATGCAGACAAACAAACAGATAAACATTCAAACATACATATATGTATGAGTGTATATATATATATTGACGTATACTTTGCGGCGCTGACCGAAGGTTCAGGCTCAGTGCGGTTCGTGCCTTAAGTGGCGTATGTCTGGCTATGTCTTTGCGCCCTCATCACTTCAATTCAAACAAACACACAAACACACATACAATCATATAAACAACAACAACAGCAACTAACTGCATTGGAATTTCACGTATTTTTCAGCCATTGCGAAAAAAGTTGGCATACAGTTCCGTTTTTTTTTTTTTTTGGTTTGTGTGTTTTCTCTGCCTTCACTTTTACACTTGGGGCTTTGGACTCTGCAGTCGTTTTGGGGTTTTGGTTTACCTGGTTTATGTAAATTATTTTTATTGCAACACGTTGCACTTGTTTCTTTACGTTCCTGCCGTTATTTATGGCCGCTGTTTTTCTTTTTCGTGTTTTCTTTTATTTCACTTTTATTTTGTATTTTTGCGCGCCAATTAGGTTAATGACACTTTGGCTTTGCAGATTGCCGTGAAGTGTGGGCTTTTTATTTATGCACAAACAGTTGTTGCTTCCTCGGCTCCGGCTGCTGCGAGCACTTGCACTAATTGCCTATCAATCAGACGCAATTGTTTCAACTTTACAAACACACACACACACACACACACATATACTTGTAGTATGTACACACAAATACTATATAATCGCACTGGGACATTAAGTTGAATTGAATTTAATGAACTCGAAGCAAAGTTTATTAAAACATCTTCACAAAAGAAAGTTGGCAAAACAATGTGCGCACACAAACAACTTTTATGTTGGGGTTTCAGCTTCTGTTACTTCTTCTTCTCCTTGTTTTGGTCCTTTCTCAGCGTCTTCTGATTACTCGCCTTTGTCCTTTTTGGCAACGCGCCGCTCGCTGTTGTGCACGTTGCAGGCAAAAAATTCCGTCTGGCAACTTTGCCGGTCAAAGTGTTTTTGAATTGTGTTTCATGTGCCTGTCCACTCTAAAGTCGTTGGGCGAAGCCAATTTTCTTAGAGAGCGACGCGACGCGACGCGACGTGGCCCCGGTTCTTAACTTTTCACGTCGCCAACGTCGCCAGCGTCGCAGTCGAAGTCGCAGTTACGGCTTCGTCAACGGCGACGGCGACGTCGCGCATTGAATTACACTTTGTTGCTGCTGCTGTTGTTGTTGTTGTATTGTTGTGCAAGTGACTGACTTATGGGTTAATGCTGCCACGCGACTTCTTTGGCTCCAACTCTGCCGCACGCCTACCCGCCTAATTGCGCCCTCTTTATAAGCCACAAGCCACGAGCATGAGCCAGTCAGGCACCCAACCACCCAACCACCATCCACCTAACCACCCATCTAGTCCGTCGACCATCCAACTCACGTACCGACCAGCAGTTGGGCATTCGTTACGTTTTCGAAAACGTTTTGTTTTGGGCTTACTTGGTGGGCGCTTTCTCATTGCACTATTACCTCTTCAGAGCTGGTTGATGTTGTTGTTGTTGTTGGGAGCTGGAAGTTGGAAATGTGGAGCTGGTGGGGGTCTGGTGATGCCAACAACTCATTTGCTACCCACGCGCCAACGGCAATGGCGCTACGTGAGCTCAGCTTGTGGCCCAACCGCAATGTTACCCCAATGAGTCTAAGTGGTTCGCTTGCACAGTGGCTTAAGGCTATGAAAATAAAAAGTTTAATATTAAATAGAATGATGAGGAAGATGAAATTATACAGCCTTTTAAATAGGTATTTTAATACTTTTGAATAATGTTTCGTTTGGCTGCCGAATAATGTATTCCTTTTCTTTAATTTCTTAGTATTGTGTGTTCGTAATTAATTAGATTAAATACAAGTTAGACAACCTTTAGGTGAAAGAGAAATTCAACATTGACTATGAAAATAAAAAGTTTAATATTAAATTGGTATTTTAATACTTTTGAATAATGTTATATGCTGAGAAAGTAAAACGTATTTGAAATGAAATATATGTTTTTTTCGTTTGGCTACCCAATAATGTATTTTTTTTTTAATTTCTTAGTATTATGTGTTCTTAATTAACTAGATTAAATAGATAAATTAAACAATCTTTAGGTGAATAGAGAAATTTGACATTGACTTTTGATCATCATTCCTACGTCCTAAAGTCTTAAGCTGCAGTACGTTCAACTCCATTAATAAATAAATGAAAGAAAGTATACCTATCTATCCTATCTAAAGTTTAACTAAATTAATTAATTTCAATAAGCAGTGGACATTATTTTTATGTTGTATGCCTCTGTCTCTGCCTTCGACGCTCTCCCACAAGCTACACTCCAAGCTGCACAACCAAAACTATAGCACTTTGCCCGAATGTCTAACGCAAAGTCACAAAAAGGAAGTCGCAGTTTTTTGCTTATCGTGTTCATATTGTCGTTGTTTCGTTGTATGTGTGTTATCGTCGTCCCCCTTATCCTCCTTTGCCGCGACTTCCACGAGTCCTCAGCGCCGTCAACGCCATCACCATCGTCATTGCCGCCTGTTCCGACGTCTTGCAGCGATTGGCGCTGCTTATGCGCCACTCACATGCAACTCCTTCGAATCATTCTGCATTCACTCGTACACACGCGTATGTACATAGCTCTGGGTCCTGGGCTTGTAATTTTTTTCTGTGTCATGCTGTTCGGTCAGTCAACAGGGCTGCGAAATAAGCAACAGTCGGAGCTGAACGTGGGCGCCCGAGGCAACTCCTTCGGTTGGCATTTTGGCAGAGTTGCGGCATTGTGGCATTGTGGCACAATTAGGCCAAACGTTTGGGGAAATTTGTTTTTATTACAACGCTATTACACGTGATTTGTATTAGAGAGGGACAAAAAAAAAAAACCAACAAATAATCTCAGACTTGGGAGTGCTCCAGCGTCTACTCTGGTTGGTGTTTGGTCGGTTTTTTGTTTCTAATTGAGTGGGGCGGAGCGTGGAAGATTTTGGATCCCCCCACAGTTGGCCTTCACATTTATTTATTAATCACATTGTGCTTTGCTTAATTACAGGCACCCATGCCAGGGCATTTCAACTTGCCGTCAACGATCAGAAATTTGGCTAAAAGTGTTGGCGGCATGAGCGACACGACGTTTGTTGAAGCTAATGTATTATTTCAATATTACATCCGGCGTGTGCGTGATATTTTAGCGAGCAACCCGTAAATGTGCTTATATTTTAATTTAATTGTCAACCAAATAGCTTGGAGGTCAATGGTTAAAGGATTTTGTATACATTTATTTCTTTAGACATATTGGAAAGAACACTTAGAAATGAATACACTTTGTGAATATAGATCTTTTCATTATTTTGCTTTAAACTTGACAAAATAGGATCCTCAAAGCTGGCATTTTGAAATTAGCATCTTGAGGGTGAATAGGCTATGCGGCTTATCGACGAACAAAGCGGTTGATATTTGTCATAAATGTTTCTTGAATCGCGGACTTAATCAATTGACAAATATTTTGTACTACAATAACAATTGTCTTTCCCTCAAGCTACAAATAAGCAACAACAATTCTAAATACTTATTGACGATTTGCAGCATGATAAGATTACTTCGGCCTTATTCAATAACTACATTTTACAAGTGTAATAGCTAAGTCGAGTGTCCTGACTTTGAAATACTCTATACTTATGTGTACAATAATTATCAAAATTTTAAAAATTAAGAAAATTGGAAAACAAATTCTACAATAAACAGCATTTTGCGATCGATTATGGAGAAAAAGGAAATATTGCGCAGTAATATTTCCCGGTGTTCCTCAGGCATTTTACAAAGTATGGCTGTTAAAATAAATGTAAATGTAGAAAATAAAAGTACTACTGCAGGGAAGCACCGACAAGCTGCTGAGTTTGCACAGTGAGGTTCAATGCTAGCACCTCAGCGAACATGTGATTAATGCTGGAATACCACAAGAACATGTTCTCGGCCGGATGTTAGAGGATACAGCATCGCATACACTTTACACGCAAGTTATATCTACTCTCAAAAAAAAAAAACAAGTGCTACGAACAATCACATTCAAAAAAGGCACATACTTGCAGTTAGTGATTATTATTAAAAGTTTCGTATTTTTTTTTCAATTTTCTTTAATTTTTCAATTTTTTTTTTCAATATTGCACACTTAGCTTGCCGGACTGGCTAATAAATTTCCCCCCAACTGGTCAGTGATTCTTCACCTTTAAATTTTAATTATATTTTATATTTTATTATTTAAATAATTTAATTTTAATTTGTTTTCTTCTATCTTTTATTGCTATATTTTTTTATCTCCACTTCTTTTTTGATAGGTCTAATAACGTATCTGACTACTCTCTGCTGTGAGTCGGGGCATAGCTGGCCGTTTGGCAAATAAAATTCCCCCACCGTGTTGGATTCGTTATTAGATATTTTTGCCATTTTTATAGGCTTTTTCATTTCTTTAGTTTTACTTAGTCTAAGTACTCTATTGTATATTTTTATGTACATCGACTGCACTGTTTGTCGATGGAAATAAATAAAAAATAAATAAATAAATAGGTACAGAGTGTTTCAAAGTTCGACTTTAGCTTTTACATTTGTTAAATCGAATCATTGAACAAGGCCGAAGAAAATCTTATCATGCTGTAAGGGGCATTAAAAAGGAACAGATAACTGGTGTGTAAATACAATTTAAGTCCACACAGTCTGATGACTCACGTTCATTTATATCATAGGTTTGTCGTTTCGATCCCATATCACACTATACATGTTTTCAATAGTTTGAAAGCTTCATGTTAGTGTTAAGCTGATTTTCAATCAAGAAACAACGTTTTTTCAACTCGTCATATTTTTATACACTGCACCCGAAAAGTAAAAAGGGTATATTTGGTTTGTGAAAAGTGAGTGGGAAAGGAAGCATCTCCATGATGAGGCGAATCGACGTGGCACAGCTACAGATAATGCACAGCCTAAGCACAAGTGATATTTATATGTTGGACTTGGACATTAATTGTCAAGAAAGAATTTTTGATTATTTAACTTCTGGTGACTGCATACATACACCGCAGACTTGTTTGCACTGCGTCAAAGCTTTTCAAGATTTGTCGGCCATGAACGATGGCAAAATTCGAATTGATGGCTCATCGGAATATTTTAAATCGCAATTTCTATTGTTTTGCATTGGATGCGAGTTCATAAAAGACCTATTTATCGATATCGGTGACTTAAGCCATTTCTTAAAATCTCTAAGCTGCAGCGAAAGGAATTCGTTCTTTGCAAGTTTAAGCAAGAAATTGAAAAGCATGAACAATTTGGAGCAAGTGCAATTTTTTCTGTTCGGCGAATTACATAAGACATGGAATATGGAACTCTTCGAAGAAAGTTTATTATCATTAAAGGAGTTGCCAAAGCTAAGGAGTGTGATAATTGATGTTGACGGTGCGTTTTCTACATTTAAAAATACTATATCAGAGACAATTTATATACTTTAATTTTGTAGGCTGTTCAGTAAAAAATATACTCCATTTGAAAAGACTCGAAAAAATAACATTCAGGCATAAGGTTAGCCTGTACGACCTAATAGGTTGTTGCAAGGCTAACAAAAACTTGCAAGCCCTGCATGTTAATAAATTGATGATCTTGGCCCAGACCCAGCTGACAGATATTATTGCGTACTGCAACAAACTGGAGGAGTTACACTTTGAGGCCGAAGGTACTGATTATGCTGACTTGGCACGGCTTCCAAATCTGAAGAAACTGGTGGTTTCAGCTACTTCGTGTGGCTCCCTTTTTGAACTATTCAAAGCTCTGGGTAAAGCTCAACAGCTGCAATATCTGCCGATAATCGGCAAAGTTTCTCCAGACGACATTGAGGAAATTGTGGGCATAAAGTCTTTAAGACATCTAAGCTGCTGTTTCTCAGATATGCAATGCATTGAGCAGCTGTCAAGTTTGACTGAACTTGAAGTACTTGAAATAAATATTGACAAATGTGATATCATTCCTCCTGCCTTACTAAATGTGCTTAAAGCGTGCAAGCTATTACGTGTTCTTTTTATTCAAGGCCCAGTCTGGGTAAAGGATTTTCTGAATAGTGCTCGAGAAGTGCTGCAAGAGGTTAGAAATCCACTTGAACAAAAACCATTACAGGTTAAAATCGTTGCCCTCGATTGGTTCATTGTAAGTTTGTACATTTGAATATCAATTGACTATAAAATATGTAATTTTATATCATTTATTTAGTCAGAGCTGGAGGACAACTTTTTAGTAGCCAGTATACAGCGACCAGCTTGTTATGATAATGATGAGTCTCCACCGCAGGGCTGCTTCAATTTTAAATTTAAATTCTAATATATACGTGCAGTATATACATCGTTTTATTATATATTATATAATCATATAACATATAATTGGTCAGCATAAGATCATAATGGAGGGGAGCAAATTATTTCATAGCATCATTATATTTTAACAAATTTGTTAGTACAACATGATATTAATTAGATTGGCGTTGTAGTTGAGATAAAAAAGGGATGAAAGTTTTGCAAGCTTAGATCCCGTTTAGCCGGCAAATAAAAAAGTAATGTTAATAAAAAAGATTAACCTAAACCTTGCCTTTTCAGTGCCTTATGCTAAAAAGCAATTGTCATAACATTTTAATCTTGTAATCCTTGTATCTTTTTATGTAGCCAAAAAGTTATTTCCGAGAAAAAGTTCGTTTTATTCTGCTGAATAACAAGATCTTTGTATCTTTTTTATCTAGCCATAAAGTTCTTTCTTTCTGTTGAATAACAAGATCTTTGTATCTTTCTATGTAGCCATAAAGTTCTTTCCCAGAAAAAGTTCGTTTTATTCTGCTGAATAACAAGACGAATGCCTTTATTAATTATTATTAATGCCGGATTAATTTAAATTGACGTTAGAATTGGATTTCCTCTTGTCTGAAACGGTGCATCGAAAGTTCTTGAAACTTGGGATACTTTTTTTAAGTCTAACGAATCGGGCATTTGTCATATTTAACACAACAGAAAATAATGTATTACTTATATAATACACATAGATTCTATTCAGCAAGTATATTGAGAAGTTGTTCTGTTAATATGACGTGTTGATATCAATTAGCAACAAGACAATGCGGAAAGCTCTTTTAAAGTCCCTTTTTTCCAATTATCTGCAATCTATTGCAACAGCTTGGCTAGTGCTCTGGCAACTGTGTGTAATTTCGCTGCAAGAGTGGACTTTTAAGCTTCAATCAGCTTCATCATTTCTAGTTTCATTTTCAATTATCTAATTTCTCCTTTTCACTCACAGACGCACACACGCGATGCAGTGTGGGCGCTAAACACGACTAGCGAACATCCAGCCACAATGGCCACGCCCACAGCAGTTAACAACTCAAATAAGCTGCTTTTTGTGCTCATGTCCACATAACAGCAGCCTAGCGATTGAACAGGCAGGCATGCAGGGGCCTCGCCGACTGGCAGACTGGCTGGCTGGTAACAGCACTTTACCCCAATCAAAGTATCTTTTCACAACTCATACACATACAGCAACGCACACACACACACACTCACACATACACAGCTAAAAACCCACATAAGCAGGCACATGTATGTACGTAATAAGCTCTTTCAATGCCCAAGCGGGAGAATTTTAAGCGGCTATTGCAACTGCAACATTACCTTGTTGCCCATTCGGCATTGTGTTTACATGATGAAGGACGCTTGGCAAAGTATTCTGAAAATCTACACCAGCCCAGTACAAAGCATGTTTTGTTTGCTATAAATGCCCACTGTGCGTGGGCGCACATTTATGTAGATACACTGACAACAATGGAATTGAATAACCCAAAAAATGGTGTCAAACTAACAATAATTACTAAACTATTCTATTACGTACTTAAAAATATGTTGAGGGTACTTGTGGTTATTTTAAACTTTTTTTAATCTAATATGTGTTCTTTTCCTCTTAAAATATTTGAAAATTTTTAGTGTCTTTGTATTTTTGTTGCGTGACTATAAAAATGTTGATTAATGTGTATGCTTTTATGTCCTACAGCTCCTTGTATGTAAGGGATATTGAGTCTTGAATTGTAATAACAAGACAAAACACGTTAAAAATAATGAATTGAATTGAATATCTTTTTTACAAATCCTTTACAAATATATTTTACAATCCTTATACATCATATATCTCTTGAGCACTTAAGCTTCCATTTATTTGTAGCGCATTCACTTTGAGATGGTAGTTTTAAGAACTGTTTTAAATTATGTGAAGCCTTTGAGTTTTAATACATAGTGTAGCAAATTTAATGGATCTTATTGAGTAGATTCGTTCAAAACATTTATATGAATTGCCTTGTGCACATATAGAATATAATATTTTGTATGGGGGATACATACTAATTTATTTCGATTTTAGTATCTTGCCTAAAACTGTGGTTATTAATATTATTATTCGAAATTAATGTTGCACCCGTTTTCTTTGTGTGTATGCTGCACATATAGTACTTTTCCTTAACTTAAACTTCAGCTAATGGACTCACGTGTGCACACATACAAGTATATGCACATGCATAAGCATGCACAAAGGCATTATAAGCGAGCACGCGAGTCAACAGAAGTGCAGCAAATGTCACTAAAGAGTCCAATGGCCGTCGTTGGCGTTCGTTCGTTCGTCTGTTCGGTCGCTTGTTGGTTTGGCGACCATTTTTGTTGCATACTTTTGCAGGCTGCACCAAAAATGAGGCAAACTTGAAAGAAATGCAGTGGAAAATGTTGTGTAAAGGGCGCGGTCAGAAGTTGACAGCGATGACGACAACAACGGCGACATAGTCGGCTATGAGGCATTTTTAATGTGACCATTAAACAAAGGCAATGAGGACAATGCACACACACACACATATACAGACATGAACACACGAAATATACACAAAACCAAAAGTAGCTGCAGTAGTGAGCACAAACACACACACACACACACACACACACATACTACATTGACTACAGTTCACATTTAAAGAAAACAGCTGAAATGTTCTCACCCAATAAACATATTTTGTTGAGATTGTTTGCTTCCTGTATACATTTTTGTATGTATGTACAAGTATATACATCCCAATACACTTTCGATGATTTCGTTCATTAAGGTGAATTTTGCCTTCGGTTTAGCGCAATTGTAGTATCGTGCATTATTTTTTTTTAAATTTAATGACTGTATCGGTTATATATTTACACAATACACTCATCTCATTGTAACAATATGTTTTAATTATTTCATGGAAACTATTCGATGTTTATAACTAATTTTTTCGACTCTATAACATTGAATTATCACAGTAATGAAAATGTATAGCTGTGATAAATAATCATAAATCATGACCATTGAAAAATTCCAGCTCTATTTCAAAGTATTTTTCAAGTTTTATTGTAAGAAATTTTATTCACTTTTAGAAGACTATATTGGTTGAAATTAAATGGTTTATAGTAACTGACTAACTTATGAAAAGTTTGAACTAAAAAAAGTTAAGCTTTAAACACAAAATTATGCTTGTTAATTTTTGTGCTTAAAATGTTTTTTTTTTTTTAATTTATTGTGTGGTGAATTGTGTTACATTTATTACAAGAGACCACATTTACAAAAGACCACACTGCAAGTATTTTATTCGAACTTCAATCATGCTGCTGCTATGATGGTAGCCACGTGATTCAAACCAGAGCCTACTCTGGAGAAAACTCGCACTGTGGGATTCCTGCTAGCTCGTTGAACTATGCCAGTCCGCACTTGTAAATAGCATGACATTTTTGAGAAGTTGTTTTCTGGGTTATTTCTCAGACGAGGTATCCAGCAAGTATATAAAAGGCAGTCATTCGCATTGCTGTCAGTGGCGCGAGAAAACTTTTCAATACAAAGTATGAAACCCACGACGCTACTAAAAGAAGACGTTGAAGAATGCGACAGCCGTGACGATGACGTTCTCTATAACGATGGTCGAGTTCTGTGTGCAACTGAGTGAACCGCAACAAAGGCGAACTACAATGACAACGAGGACTACGATTTCAGCATCTACGATGAACAGAATGTCGAAGCTGTTGCATTTACAACAGTGCAGGCCACAAGCAATGTGAACATAACAACCCACAATGGGAACATATCACTGTTCAAGTTGGGGAGCTGACCATGCAGCTGCCTTCTCAAAATGAAAAGAACGCATGACAAAATGAATGGAAGGAATATGGTTGAGGGCAAAATGACCACAAGCAGTCAGCATGGCCAACTATTGGGCCAACAACAAACCAAACAGTCGGCCAGACCAAGTCAATGCAATGCACATGTCCTGGGCATCCACATGCCAGCACACAATATGTAATGATGGGGTTGAATGAGGATACGGATGGCATGCCAACGCATCTGTACGATAGTTTGCTGGCTCGTGTCATGCCGGCCGGACGGGCCGTAAGAAAAGTCGTCGTGTCTTTAAATGTGAATGGGACTGGGTTGTCGGCGTCCTTGTCGGCTGCTGGCAAAAGTTTCAATTGTCTGTGCCTGCGGATGTGTGAATGCGATTGTTTAAGTTTTTCTTTTGTCTCCTTCTGTTCCTGTTGCATGTGGGCACAATTAATTTTTGTTGCTCCACATGCTGCAGATGATGGTGATGATGATGATGATGCTGATGATGCTGATGATGCTGCTTATGATACAGATGATGCTGATGCTGATACTGATGATGCTGTGCTGACCAATGTTGAGGTTTGCATTTGGCTTATGTGGGCCACGGACATTGCGTAATGCCAGTGATAAATGCAGCAGTTGATTTCGTAAGAGATGGCAGGCTCAAGCTCATGCTATCAGTCACAAAACTATCAGACTGGGCTATGTTTCATGCAAATTGTTGCTGTGGTTACATAGATAGCCAAGGAACGTAAAACTTAAGGCTTGATTGGATCTGATTGCATCCAGAATTCAACTACTCCAGTGGTTGAGAGTTGAAATATGTTGATCGATGTATAATGTGCTTGAAACCGATACAAGGAATGTTTTTTAAAATATTTTCAAGAATAATGATTCATTATCCATTTAGGTCAACATTCCAATACAAAGAAAAACTTTTATTTTAGGAAGTCAGTTGATTAAAATGATCAATAAAAGTAATTAAGTTTTTAAACTTACTCGCTTAACGATGCCATGAGTCACATATCTTTACCGAAAAGTGTACGTCTTTAATAGACATACTTGTAAGCATAGATGAGAAAATCAATAGTCAGAAATAATAGGCAAAACCACAAACTAGCCCTTTTATTTAAAGAATTCATGTATTTCTCTAATTTTAAAAATGTTGAAAGTAACTTGTGCCTTAAATGTATAAGTCAAGATTTCTTCTATTTATTTTTTCCATTGCTTAGCTATTTATCTTTTATTTCACCAAAAGTGAAGATTATTAATTCCTTAATGAGATATGTACTAGAAAAATAATTAAATTGATATAAGTCGTTAAACGGTCTTAAATTTAAGCCGCTTTTACTAATCCCCCTTTTCCATAACTTGCTCTAAATTTGAAATTTTGCGTGGAATAACTTTGTGCCAAACCCAATCTGGGCATGTGTGTTGTATATTTTCCATTGTACATAGCTTTTACGGTGAATACAAAAGCATGAACATTTAGCTACTCGTACTAAGTTTTCTTAGATTAAAGCTCAAACATGTCTTGGCAACTTTACTTTGCTAATTCGTGCTTCTTTTATGTTAATAAAACGAGAATAGGCGAAAGTTTTTTGAACAGAAATTAACATTTCCCTGTTCGCTTTTAGGTGCGGCTGTCGCCCTTCTTGCTTGACTGCAGCGAATGCAACTGCCACCACAATGTGGGCGGGAAAGTGTTACGGTTTTGGGTTTTCAGTACATGCCCGAAACCCGACACCGGCACCACACCCGATGCCGTTTAGTTGATGGCTCGCTATGATTAGTTTAGGGTTTGGAGCGCTGCGCCATTTTGAATGCCTTTTCGCGCCACATTCATTTTCGAGCGGTGGTCGGTCGGTCGCGGTCTGTGTTGGTTTTTGCAGCAAACGTTTGTCGGGGGCCCAATTTTTTTTTGGTGGGTTCTAAGCTTGAATTTCATTTTTTCTTTTTTCGGTTCCGTTTGGCGGCTGCTTTTAATATGATTGCAATTTGCGCTTACATGTCGTAGGTACAGTTGGGGCCAGCAGCTGCTATAAGTTTTGGCTCGTTGGTTGGTTGGCTGGCTGGCTGGTCAAGTTTTCGACATGCAACAGCAATAGGGAGAGAGAGAGAATTAACGGGAGAAAGAGAGGAACCCAAAGGCTTTGTTGTTGCTGTTGGACGCGTTTGGAATTTTTTCAGAGTCTACTTTTGTGCGCATTAGTTTCGCTTCGCCAGACGCAAATTGTGTGGCCTGCCGTCGCTGTCGCCACCGTCAGCCTCATACTTCTCGCCCATGTCTGCGCCGTCGTCATCGCTACTTTTACTTTGCAAACGCTTTTGTGGTAATTAATGTGCAAGTGTGTGTACGTCCGTGTGTGTGTCGTCAATTATTTTTGGCTTTTGCAGTTGGCCCATAACAAATTACAGAGTGCCACCTCATTCCGCAATGTGCAATTTTTCATTCATTTACTGCACGACTGCTCAAATTTTGTGAAATTTATTGGTAAATTAATTAAGTGTTTTTTAATTGTATACGTGTATATTCCCTAAATTGGGTGAACAGAAACGTCATTCTATTTTAATTTAATATATTAAGGTATACGAACATATATGTAATTATTTAGTTGGAAATTAATTGTATTTTAAAAATCCTTACGAATGTAAAGTCTTTTGATTGCCTCATTCAGATTAGCTAAGATTTATATTTTTATTTTATTTTTTTCTTTCACATACACAATTGTTTCAGTAGTGTGTTTTAATTGGACGTCTTCCATAAAATTTTAGTTAGATTTTCCAGTTAAATGCATTCTAATTGTTGCTATAAGGGCTAAGATAACCAATCATGGTATTCACATTGCTTGAAGTATATGAAAAAAAGAAACACATATATAATGATGATTGGTTTCGCAGCTTGTATTTTATTATAATGCGATTATTAAAACAATATTTGTTGTGAACACTACTTCGTGATTAAAATATTTTAAAAAATGGAACGCCTAGCTGAGTATGTTATATGATTTTTGGAAGTAATTTTGAATTTGTTTGAAGTCCAGCTAGCTACTAAAGAGTCCTTAATATTCTGTCTACAATTCATCATACTATTTATCTCAGCTGGTGGATAAGAAGTGCGAAGAAACCAAATTAGAGATTTCTATAAAAAACATTAAACTGTGTACTGCTCATGTCACAATATTGCAATCATCGTAGGTCCAGAGAACCGTAGACACACAGCCACCGGTGCCGTATGCGAACGTGTGATTATAGCGCCGCACCAGATAGAGCATCGTAAGCAGCATAAGCCCTATCACAGCCATCAAAATGCCAACGTACATTTCTTCGGAGCCGAGCCTCACAGAAAAGCTAAAAGCGCAAAATTCGAGAAAGGAACGTTGCTTAAATAAGTGAACAGGCGTACCGGAACTATGTTGCGCATACGCACCGTTTGCCCTGGATCGCATAAGTGAAATTGCTGCGTCGAACTAGAGAGCCGCATTCCCGGCACTTGGCGTTCCTCACCACCTGGCGTGCCTCACAGCATATTTTACGTCGATATTTCGTGATTATTTCGGAAACGCTGTCACATGCATGCGCGACAACATTCTGCATTGGAGATGACTTCCTTTTGCAGGGGTCCGCGTTGGTGGAAGCAGATCCAGGCATTCTGTGTGAGCTCGTGTAGAAGTGTGCAAAATTTTAGAGGCTTCTGTTTACTTGAATTTGTGCGCTGTGTTGTTTTAAGTATGTTTTGAAACAATTTGCTTTGCAGCTATGTTTATTAATGATTTGTTGTTAAATGACAATTTATGGAAAAACTTACATAGAGTATATTACATATCGTAAAATGAGGTGCATTGAAAGAAATAGATATGGCATTAAGTGCATCAATTAATGTGTGTATCCTTCCGAGACCGGGGCTATTATTCTTTTTCCAACTTTGAGTAATAGTCAGATTGTTTGAATCCCGGTAGCAACATTTGAGTCCAAACCAATTAAAATGCATTCTTTTATTGAACACAGAATGCTCAGACATAATCTAATGAACTACTAAATAAATTCTTTGCGCCAATGTCGTACATGAACCTTTCGACACTTTGTGTAGTTGCGAGAAAATTTTCAAATATGCGTGCTGAATAAAAACTATATATTTCTGAGGAAATGATCAAGTACATAAAATCGATAGATTGAAGCCAAGAAACCATCATGCACAAACTCTTAGATATTACATATAAAACTTTTACTTCGATTTAAAAGTTAATTGTAAGATTTACTGATCCCCATGCTCCAGAAGGGCTTGAGTCTCACAATCTATTAATCGACGAAAGCTAACTAAATTTCGTTTTCGAATTTAAAAACTTGTTTCCTTTTAAAAGATATTTCTCTTCAAAATAAGATAACATTATAATAGATAATACATATACATACATACATACATATCTTACTGAAAAAAAAAAAACAATCTACACATCAATTATATAATTCATCAAATTGTTATGCTCTGAAATAATTACTCACATTGTAGTTTCATCGAAATTTGTGGTCCCATAACAATTGCAGAACAAACAAAATATGTAAACTCGGCGCCTATTCAATAGTGGTAATTACATGATAAAGCCAAAAGTGGAAATGGTGGCCCATAACAGTTAAATAAATGTTTACAAAAGATTCGTAATGGCAGCATCATTAGATAAAATGCTCAATGAATATAATTCGATGCGCTAAATAGCGCAACAAAAGGCCGGCAACAGAAAGAAATCAATAGTTGCAAATTGAAACCGAAAATTTACAGTAATCAGCGCAATATAGTATATAGAAGCCGCCATTAAAATCATTATGTACCCGAGCTTAATGTCTATTTATGGCTGATTTCAATTTGAGTGGCGCGGCGGGTAACCGATCGAGCTGCCAGCCTCCAACCTTCTGGCATTCATTTTCAATAAAAAGCCGCGCTGCAAAAAGTAATTAACAACAAATTACGAAACCGAAGCAAACAAATGCCGCAACCGACACACTTAAAGCTAATTAAATTTTGCGCAGCATTGGAATGATTGCTAGCAATAACAGCAGCGACCACAGCGCTAATAACAAAGTGCTTCAATCCTGGCAGGTCACTACAATAAAGGTTGTTAGTGGCCTCTCCAATATTTAAACTATTGGTAAGAGCACTCAAGCCAAAATGAAATAACTTCGTTGTGCGGTTGTTAAGCACAACGTGTAGTGTAATACGTCTTTACTAAACATTTTAATAAACAGTCTTAAATTGAATTATAAAATTGAATAAAATGAAAAACATAAAATACCGTAAAAATATTTCTATTACGGGCTATCATTTACGCATTTATATGGCATATTTGTTTGATGCTTTTAGTCCAAATGGTACATTTAAACTTTCTAGCTAGCTTTCTCCAGCGGGAAACTGGGCTTTATTTGGTCACGTTCTGGCTAGGGTGCACCTTTAAATGAACACATTTCTTGAGTACTACTTATGGTAAACTTATTCAATTGAATTCTTCCATTATGCTCCTTCCGATTCCCTCATTCATAAGGACGTTTTTCCGTTGAATCAATACCATAAAAAACACTTTCATACAACTTTTAAATTCCACATTTGGGAGCTGACCAAACACTTATGATGCTTATATTTATGACTTCTAAATTAAAAAACAACTTGTAAATTTTCATGTATATTCTGCTGCTAATTTATTATACTTTACATTTATTCATAAGCTAATATGCAATTCACAGATGCCAATAAAAATATTAATACTTGCAATACTTATATATAATCGATTCAAACTTATCATCACTACTTCCATTTAAATATCGATAATGCAACGTTGTTCATAATTAAAAATTTTCACTCATACTTATTTTGTATTCTCTGTAATAATATTAAACTAATTTAGTTTTATTTAGATTTTACATCGCATAGGACATGAATAAATAATTAAATCTAGTCAGTTCCGAGCCGTGGCTTCAGTTCTATCGATCAAAATATTAAGTTGCTCTTGTAGGGGCGAATTCTTTCTTTTCTCGTTTCTAAACAGTAGCAACCAAATGCCAAATAAAATCTGTGAGCAATTTTTATAATATTAACAATTGGATTCAACTTGTGAAATTTTTGGTAATTAAAGTTCTTGTTCAAGGAATACATTTTTTTGTTAAATCAGTTGATTAAGTAATTGCTAAGTAATCATGATCGCTCTCATTGATTTTGTTTATTTACCAATTCTTAATTTGATTTCAATTCCCTTTAGCAGAGAGACTGACATTGTCTCATCAGCTGTCCAGCTTACTGAATACACCTTGCTAATTGCACCGCAGGCAATTTAAACGCCCCAATTTGGGCGCTGCCAATCAGCAAGCTGTTTAAATAATAAATCACTTTAAAATTAGTTTGCCAACTTGTGCCAGTTGGGCGGCGCCAAATTAGTGAAAGTTAATTAAAACTATTTAAATTGCAAATTATTTTAACATTTTTCGCACACACACACACACAGACATAAATTGACAGACAAAGCTCAGGGCAGGACGCTGAAGCTGAAATGTAACTTGTGCGCAGACAAAAACCGCATCGTTGGAAAATGTAAGAAAAACTCTGGCGCGCACACACACACACACACATACGTACACAAAAACATACTAATAGGAATGAGCGCAGGGCCTTTCACATGTTTAAATGAGGGAAATTAAAAGCTAAAAAAAGTGTGCGCCCTGATGTTGGAATATCTAAAAAATGTCAACCGTCGTATGTCGTGTGTGTGTGCGTGTTTGTAAATGCTTGTGTGTGAGTGAGCGTTGAGTGGTTGGCAGGCAAGCAGTCAGGCAGACGAACGGACAGGCAGGCAGGCATTCAGTCAGTCAGACGGCTAGTCGAGGGCGACGGGGCGTATACGCGTCGCGCAACAATTTGCATATAAAAAGGGTTGTTAGACTTTAAATAGCGAACGCGCTGGCCTATTATATGAATTAAGGCAGATATGAGGCGCATTAAGATAAGGCACTTACACAGCATTTACAACGGAACTTCACACACAGACATACACGTATATGCATACATACATACATACACTCCCAACGATAGCTCCACCTGCACCGAAAGTTAATTTATGCGGGCCTGTGAGTGTTTGTGTGCGAAAGTGTGTGAATGTGTGTATTATATATGTATCTGCCGTTGCGTATGTGAAGCTTGTTGAAATTTTAATTAAAGGGAAAATGTTTAAAGAGGCAACAACAAGAACAACAGCAACAACAACAACAAAAAACCATGCGCATCCCACATAAAAGTTAGCACCCAAAAAATAAAAACGACTCGACTCGAGACGAGACGAGACGAGCTAAGTTGAGTTTTGTCTGTGTTTGGGTCTGGTGGCTGATTCTGCTGCACTTTGCCAGCATGCCCCGTAACTTTTGACTTCGCAGCCACAGTCAGGCTGCTGTCTAACACTTTTTGCAACTCACTCAACGCACACTACTCGCCTCTCCTTTCCTTCCCTTTCCTTCGCTATCTCTTCCTTTCCCTGCCGCATCAGACAGCAGCGAAGTCGGCAGCACTTGAAAAGTACTTAACTTCCGCACTGACTTCGCTTAATTCCTAATGATGGAATACCGCTTTTAAGTCAACCCATCTGTTTGTTGTTGTGGAACTGTGCTGCACAGAGAAGATCTGTGGGAAGAGCATCATGATGGTTCATGTAATTGTGACACTAAGCATAAAGCTAGGGAAGATGCTTTCAATTCAACGCAAACAAATGCACACACTACATGTAGGTACACTTATGTGTATGGAGGAGAGCAAAGAATGTGTGTAGAGTAGCTCATTTAAGCTTGGAACCTCACACTGGAACATGGCAAAGGCACACCGTAAAAAAAGTATCCATTCAGCATGGAAATGTGTGATTATATTTCATGAAGACTTAGCTAAGAAAAGGAAAAAGTAATAATTAGCAAAATATTTGTTTGTTATAATAAAAAGGGTAAATAACCGGGTCGGAGGCGTTAATTAGATATTATTGTAATTTGAATAGATTTCTCCTTCTTAGGCTTTTCTAGCTTATAAGATGCTTTTTATAATGAATCTATATACCTAAGCTATAACCAAACCTATATACTGCTCCTCAATGTGTGTGATGAAAAATAAATCTTACAGAATTAATTTAATTGATAGACATCCGTCTTGTATAGTACTCCAGACATACTAGACAAATTTGAAAAATGTTTTGAACATTTTTGCCGGTCTAGCCATACCTTTTTACACACAAATAAGCTATCAAAGTTATTTAAGTTATTTAGAGCGCCAATCAATTCAAATGCAAAGAATTTTCTATCAGCACCTTCGAACTTACTAACACAGTTTCGCATAATTTTGTGCGCTTTCGTTACCCTTGCGGTATGCAACGTTTTTTTTTTATAAAAATCGATTTCAACGTCTCCTTCATGAAGGTGAATTTTTTATCGTCCTGTTAGCTAATACTTCGCCAATATTTGTAATACTTTTGGTTTAGCTCTTCCATTAATATTTGCACAGCTTTAAGCATAAAAAGCCACTAATTTTGCAGCACATCCATTAAAATAATTTAATGCCTTTGTTTTTATTACTAACATTTTTTATCCAGATATTTGCGAACATTATGTACATATACAGGTCACACCTGCTATATTTTGTGGAGGAAGTTGTAGAAGTCGCAGTATAATTTAATATTTAAAAAATAGCT